TTTTCCAGCTCCCTTGTGAACGTCAACTTCTACAAACCCTGAACTTCATTATGGAATGCAGAACCTCATGCTTCTGAAGGTTATATACTTAGAACATGCTCTCAGACCACGAAACTATAACTGCCCTATAATACACTGAGAGGAGACATACCTGTAACTGAACCACCACTCTAAAAAAAACTAAAGATGGAATCCCTAGGAGTTATCTCATAGATTATCTAATTTGAATTATTTTTATGCTGAAAAACATACTCTTAACAAACATTTTATATGACAGCTGCTTATAAGAACATGATCCAGTTTCATAGAATTGTGATTCTGAGGCATAATTTTCCATAAATTCAATCACCAAATGTTAAATTTCTTATATTCACAATATTCGCAACAGTTAGTGGTATTTAGATTTTATGTAATGTTTATAGAAAACTAAAAATTGACTTAAAATTCATTCTAGCATATAAGCTCCAGGAGGGAAGGGGCATTTTTTTGTTTTCCTCACTGATGTATGCCCATTGTCTAGAGCCAGCCCAGCATAGAGAAGACTCTCAAAATATTTCATTGAATATTGATACTGTCAAGATATGGACATTTCCCTCCTTATGTCTATAAAACTAAGTCATGAATGAAGTATATAAATTATTGGTTCCAAAAATTTCAGAAATTCCAAAATTATGAACTTTTCAATATCTTCTTTTATGTTTGGTTTAATCATTTCATTTTCTTTGTTCAAATTAAAGATGCAGTCTATTTGTTTTTGAAGCATGTAGATATAGCAGAGTTTCCACTTCTTCAAGTGGTAGAATTTATAGAATGCTTTGTTAATTAACCTTTTTGCACCCAACAGACATGTTTTACAACACTCACTATCCTTTAATAATCTGAGCACAGACTGCTAATCAGCACCTCCCTCTTCTCCAATTGCTTCATTGGTCTCCCATTAAGAATCATATTGATTATCAAATTGCTCTTTTAACCTAAGAGTCATTGTGACTTTCTCCTTTCTTAATTTCCTAATGTAGTTTTTCTCTACATATCTAGACACTCTCCAGCTACTGAATCCCTCAGCTTTTAAAACCTAGTAAAAATGTGAAGTCACTGATTTCACCTTTGGAAGAGATATCTTTAGAAAAAATAACATTACAACATTTTCCGAACATTAGTATGGGGACTGAAATATCAAAGTTACAAACTAATTAACAAAACTTCAGTTTTTAAAGGCTTAAAATAGGATATCTATTAGCCCATGAAAAACAAAATGAAGATTCTAACTTCTATTTAGCTTGTGGGCTTAAGTCATTTTATCAAAGGTTCAAAGCATATAATTCAAACATTAACTTAAGTAGCTTAAAATAATTATAAATTTCATATTGAATCAATAAATTAGAGCTGTTTACAGGAAAACACTGAAGATTCTTCCTCTTTAACAAGTCTTATTAATTAAATCAAAAGCTAATGAAGAAGAAGCAATCAAGGCTTGATTGCCAATATAGACATTAATTCAGGTAAATAACGTGGTGGGAAAATACTTTAAATTGTGTTACTATCACCATAGAATCTTTTACTGGAGATACTGTATTGCCAAATCTGCTCCCTACTTGCTCTAAGTTGTACAGTGAACTTTTGCAATTTAGTGATTCTTTGCTATTCTGTTTTGTGCTCTGAGCCTCCGAAGAATGACCCTGGCTGACCCACGAGGCTCAGTTCATCCCTTGAGCTAAGATTCCTGCCCAAGGATGAATGACTCAGTGTTTTAGTCTGCTCACACAGGACGAGCTGTCAAGTGCAGCACGAGGAAGAGCCGAGGGAACTCCCCTGCGTGGACCCATTCACAGAGACACAAGGGCTGAGCGGGAGTGGGCAGAGCCACTGACGTGGGTTCAGGCTTTCAAATGGGTTCTAGCCACAAATCCAAATTTTTGCAATGCACAAACTCTATCCACAATTCTGTGTGCCCTAAATTTGTTAATAAAAAATTTTCTTGTAACAGTGAAGCAAGCTCTAGGAGCTTTGAATAAGGAACACAGCCTGCTCATTTGTTCATTCATTAGTGCATGTGTTCATTCAACATTTTATGAAACTAATGAAGAACTCTCCAGTCAGCTCAGGGTAAAATCACCAGTTTCAAAAGACTATCATGCTCAAAAAGAATTTTCTCACAGACAAACAATTCTCAAAGGAAACCCTAAAGGTTTTCCACTCTATTAGTTACCGCAAATTAATAGAATAACTTAGCACAATAAAACAAAATTACAAATATTATCTAAGTCATCTTTGAAACAGTGTCCATGTGCTAACACCTAGAAGAAATTACATCTACAGAATATAAAGGAAATTAAAGCAATATATCTAAAGAAATTTAATATATGCTGGGAAATTTAATATATTCTGCCTCGCTCTTCCATTCTGATTTTGTTTCAAAAGAAACTTGTAAGGAAAATAACACCAAGTGCAGGCAGATACAATGCTTTTGTTTCCTTGCTGCCTTGGTACAGAAGCAATAGAAGGAAATGTAGATACCAGGGAGGGAGTGACAAGAGCAAGTTGGAGTACAGCAAGGACAATATTTGGGCTGAACTTATAAACTGGTCTAATTTATTTAAAATATTAGAAAAATTTTATTAATAATGGTTCTTTTTTAAGTTCCTCTTAAGACACTAAAGTGCTGATTAAACTGTATTACATACACGTTTCAAAACTTGAAGATTTAACTAAATCATTATGGTCTTGCTATTTCCATCTGAATTCAACTTTTTTTAGATTATTCAGGTGTGAGAAATCATCCTAAGACTATTTAACCTGTGCTACTCCAGAAT